CTCATGGATTAAAGGAAAAGCCCACCAAGGACTGAGACTCCTTGCAGCGCCATCTTTGACCTGTGAAGTAAAAGTTTTGGCTTTTAATAAATGTTTTTTTAAGCTCTCATTTTGAGTGATTATGGAAGTTTTTCTCAGTAAAAGAGCTTCAACAGAGCCTCAAGTTCTGCAGGTTTCAGTTCACAACATTTCACAGGCCCAACTGAACTTAATAGGGAAGTTACAAAACAAGAGATACAATGGACTTTAAAGCTAACGCCCCCCAAAAGATGTGGCCTTATTTATCTACTTTTATAAGAAATTGCATAAAGTATTATTTTTCTGTGTATAGCTAAATGTGTTAAATTCAGAGGAACGGGCTGGCAACGAAGCAGAAGTCTGAACTGAAGCTTGCTGCATGCAGGGAAAAGTCTCTGGAAACTTGTGGATCTCAGGATGTGGGACTGGAAGACAACAGAGACACTTGAGACTGATCCTGTAATGAACTCAGTGCATTCCCACCAGCCCTGCTTAGTCTGCTTTAATTCAATTCTAGTTTGTTTGGGGAGGCGTGAATGTGCAATCAATCTCTGATGTGGACCAAAAATAAAAAACAACAACTCTGGTCCTCCTACAAACCTCAGTCTCTGTACAGTTAAAGTGAACTTTGGTGTAATTCTAATGTTAATGTGAATACCAAGGGGACTGGAGAGCGCTCCAAAAGCAGGAAGGGGGCTATAGCGCAGGACATGCTGGGTAAATACAACTAAAACTAGTGGGAAACATGACTAATGCTCTTTTACCAAAGACAAAAGAAAAATCTTACAGCTGCTAAAATCTCCACTCCATTATTGTTTGTTTCAGAGGTTTTCATGTTGTTTCCTTCAGTGGTTCTTGGTGCAGCACCAGCACAAAGGGGGAGGTGTTTTTACACCTGATAGACTGAGTTCAATTAGAGACCAAAACTGCATTCACACTGCACTGTGTCAAATGAACCAAATTGTTAGAGCAACCTGTTCATTATGCTTTGAATGTCAATGTCAAATTTATTTATATAGCACTTTAAAACGGGTATAAAACGGCACCAAAGTGCTGTACAAGAACGACAACACAAATGACAAAACAGAGTAAAAACAATACATCAATTAAATGCCAAAGAGTAAAAATGAAACCGCAACCCCGTTATGGTTAAACAGTTCTTAACGAAATAAATAATATGAATATGTAAGTAAGAACAGGGCTGGGATTTTTGCCTGGAGACTGGGACCTTGGCTAGCAGAAATTCTTGACGCTTAGACCATCTGGATAAGAGAGTGTGAGTTTACTGGGGATTGTTTCACCCACGGACATGCAGAGAACTGAACTCTGCACACTGAAAACTAAAAGTAGTGAAAGTAAGTATGGGTTTCGATAGCAGTTTGGCTGGCATGCACTCACCGCTACTGTGAACTGGTTTCACCAAGAGGGAGTAAATGATCACTGCAGTGGAGCAACATGGGATTTGACTGGATGACAGATCTAGAAAATACTGGAGGACAACCAGTCAACTGGTTATTTGTGGTTAGGGTTAAACTCCTCAGTTTGGAGGTGGAGGTGGTTGGGGTAAAACTGAGGAGATGGATCTCGAGCCCTGGAGGAACTCAGGATTTGTTACTGTGAGAGAGATGAAGTTATAGAAATGCTCCAAGTTGGGATAACAGGCAGTTCTGTACTTGGTGATGGATCCAAAGCTACACCGTTTCTTTCACCACACTCTCCTCTATGATCTTAACTTTCCTGGTGCACTAAATGTATATCTGCCCTTCAGCTTTACCCCAGCGTGCTTCAGGCCCGGTCAGGGTCCACTCAGAACTTGGACCAGAGGAAGCCAGGAGCAATCCTTTAACCTGAGCATGCTGCTGGAGCCCTGGGCTACTGATAAACTGCAGCTCTGCTGTTATCTGCTGAGGCTCTCAGGACATAAAACCAACAGCAAGGCTGACCTCAGGACCAGAGACCACTGCGAAGCGTCCTTCACCACCTCTGCATCACTCAGAGAGCTGATGTGCAGGAAGATGTGTGAAGACTTGACGCTTCCAAGACCTTTAAATCAACAGACCTGAAACCTCGTAAACAGTCATTTCTGTCTGAACACATAATTCCGACTGCTCACATAATCAATGTCTGAAAGCTTTTCAAAAGCATAAGTAAAAGCTATGGACACTTTACTGGATGAATCCATTCAACTCATGGACTGCTTTTATTAGACACCTTTACATGAGCCAGGGACTCGATTTGTCCCTGTGAAATCCAAGTTAAATGCAAAACTTTCTGACAAGGCTAACAAACCGTGCAAAACAGAAGCTGCTGCAGCATTTAATCAACTTTATTTTTTCCCTAAATGTAAATAGAACATGGACCTTGATGTTTTTTGATTAATCTTGTCCTTTTAGTCTTAATCTCTTTGATGCTTGTGCTGGATTAAAAACAACCTCAGTCCTCTGATACTATTATAGATTGCTGCTCCTGCAAACGTTTTCATGCTAATGCAGATAAAGTCATTTGAATTCTGACTGTTGATTTGCTGATGGCTTTGATACTGTTTATCCTGGATGAGCCTGTCTCTGTTTTCATGTGAAAAATCTTTGTTTGCATTGATCTGATTTATCTTCAGGATGTTTAACCTGAGAAGTCATCCCTGGCTCTTGTTTGTGTTTCTCTTCACAGTTTAACCCCTATCTGTCAACATTTAACATTCTGTGTTACGATTAAAAGTAAGTACACCCTCTTAATTTTGTTAAAAAACTTTTTTTTTTTAATTCTCATCGCTATTAGAAAAGCTTCAGAGCTACTGGTCTGAATGATGAAGGTCTCAGTGATCAGTTTTAGCAACATGAGCATTTACTTTTGCTGGTTTCTTTCTAGCTGAATGTAAATCATATCAAGCAGATATAGATGCACATTCTTCTTAGAACATCCTCTAAATTTAAATCTCATACGTTTGACTTGTTTTTAACAAGACTGCTGACACTTTCAAAAATACTTTATGTATCTGATTTAGTGCCATATATGGAAGTGACAAATAACATTTTTGAGGGTAGAAATGATTAGAATTGTGCCATTTAGTCCGACATGAAGAAGTTGGATAGCTGCATAGGTCAAAAAAAAGACGAGAGATTTGAGTTGCATGCTGTGTGAACTTAGCCTTATATTATAATCACCTTATTACTAAGGCATCGGCAGTAATTTGTTGAGGTGGATTAGAGACACTTTACAGTCAATTAAACAATACAAAGCATTACTGAAACTCTTGCTGAAACTCTGTCTGTTGTTTTAACCTGTTAATTATAAATTTAGGTCATGTTCATAAAACTATTAACTCCAACTGACTGATACAGCTTCACTTAAAGTTCCTCCTAAATGTTCCTGAGAAAATAAACTGCCAGCAGGAATGTCCTTGTTGTAATTTCCATTAGGAGCATGTTCCCTCTTGGACAGAGCCGTGGGTAACCACCAGCCATTTTTCGCTTTGTTTCTCTTTAATTCGAAGCTGTCTCACTGTTTCTTCAGACGAGATTGGTGCAGACGAGGTTGGCTGACTTGGTTCTTGAAGAGGCAGTAGGGGGGAAACCCAGCAAAAAGAAGGGGATTTTACATTAAAGGAGCGGCTTATCATGAAAGCTGATCAGCCAAGAAGAGCTCTGTGCTCCACCGACTTGAGATTTTTCTTTACTTTGTCGTCTTTGGATGAAAAAAGTAAACTGCATCATCTCAGTGTGAGAGTACAGGATGCAATCAAATATTTTTATTATTAAAAAGCACCAAACTTGCATGTCAGAACACATTCGCTTTCAGTCTCTGATGGAATACATATCCAGACATGGTGGTGAAAAGTCATTTGATATTGCACATTGAAGGGTTATTGCAGGTCTGCATGCTCACCAATTAAATCCAAATCAGACTGTTCTTCTGGGTGCTTAACAGTTTTTTTTGACAGTAAGTGTAGATATTGACATTTCAAGCCTTTTTTGAAAGAAAGATAATTCCCGTCTTTTCAACTCCTCCAAACCAATTTTTCAAGTGTCAGCCCAGGCTCTCATCTCATATTTCATTCTTCACTTAGCAATTACCCTCCGGCAGGAGAGCAGAGCTGCAGCCTTTCTGGAGAATCTAACAAATTTTCTTTCAGGTGTCCAATAAAATGTGAGGAAAATATCCTTTTGTCTTCCTCCCGTTACTATTCTGGTGTTTTGTAAACCGGTGTGGCTGAATTTCCAGCGTGCTCTGACTTTCCGTCCTGTCAGAGAGCATCCCAATCAGCAGGTTTTCCACAGCCTGCATGAAAGCTCTTGTTATTTGCCAGCACTTCAGCTCTAAGTAGATTACCCCAAAGTGAGCGTTACACAGTTCAGGTTCCACTCGTGCGGTCAGAAAATGCCAGCAGCACCCACGTGCCACACTTACACTGTCCCTTAAAGCAAAACAAACCGGTCTGTAAACCACCCTGAAGACATAAAAATGTTTTTTATTCTCCTCAAAGTTCCACAGACTTTCATCCTTTCAGACAACCACTGCAGACATCCGTAGACGCTACAGTGGATCTGAGATAGTTGACTTTTTGCCCTTTTCTCATCTGTCTTCCTTTGCATGGTCGGCAGTCTTGTTAGTTTAATATTTTTCTGCTTGTTGAGTCCTGAAAAGGTTCAAATTTAGATTTAAAAAAATGAAAAAATGTTTTGTGACTTGTGGTTATGTAAGCGTCTAACGTCAAAGCTTAGCAGTACCTGGGAGTTCACCTGGTACTGCCAGTGTTGTGGACTGGACTCTCAACACTGATGCTCTTTATCGGAAGCGTCAGAGGAGGCTACCTGCTGAGGAGGCCCAGGTATTCTGGTGTACAGTGGTAACCTTTTTGACTCTGTGGAGTGGCGTCAGTCAGCCATATTTATGGTGTATATGAAAACAGAAGAGCAGATTTGTACTGAGATGAAGATAAGTGATCATGCCTGCAGTAAACTGTTGCTTACCCTCATCTCCTCCAGTACCCCTCACAGCTGGACCCTCTGTGGACGACTCCTTTCTAGATGCCTGGACCTCGGCCTCACCTTCCCTCTCACAGCTCTGACGGCCTCTCTCTGCTTCTACCTTCGCCGTTCCTTGGATTGCTCCGGTAAGAACACCTACCTGGTCACATCGTCAGCCTCCAGCTGGTTGTCCACCCTCCAATGCGTTTCAAGGAGAAAGAATCACTATCCGAACCGCTCACCCCTCCCTGCCCAACCTCAGTGAAGATTAAAAACTAATTCACCCGAGGACTTACCTCTCCTGTAGATCTGTTTGATTCCCATAAATGGTGAGACTAATTCCTCGTGTTCCTCGCCTGCCATGTTCAACGTTGACCGCTCTCTTTGCAATCTTGTGTGGTCCTGGGTCGATCCTTCCTCACCAGCTGCTTACGGTCCTGCACAGTTGTGCAGTAGGGTTGCACTAGTGTGGCCATAATTGTTTTCCTCACCAGAGCCTTTTGAAAAATAAGAACATTAGAACAGATACCACTAGACTCAGAATCCTCCAGGATTCTCAGTTAAGTAAAAAATGAAAGACTCCTGCTCTTTAGACAGAATTAATCGTATTTATTATTTTACAATCTAAAGACTTGAGACTTTCTTTCCAGGTCCTGTTTGGCTTTAATTCCAGCAGTACTCTTAACATCTCTGGACAGCAGCGTGTTTACCACCTTGTTGCATCAGCCTTGCTTTTAACAACACTTTATAAGGGTTTGGGAACAGAGGAGACCAATTGTTGCAGTTTTCAAAGCAGCATGTTTTCCCATTTGGACTTTATGTGAGATTTTGGCTGCTCAGTAGTTCTGACCCCCTTTTTAAATGCATTTCTTGTTCCAAAGTGGATGACAGCTCTGAACTTCAGGGAGACCAAATTTCCTTTGGCATTCTTCTTACCCTGGATAGAAAAAGCCTTTGAAAAGTGCATGTGACATGCTCTAATGATTACAACAAATCACAGGGACTATATTTAAAATACTTTGTGCTGATTTTTTTTCTCCCTAAACGGTGGTACAGTTTGTAGCTTGTTAATCGTAGCAGGAAGGTTCTGGATTCTTCACAGAGTTTACATGTTCTCCTCTTGCACATGTCACTCTTTGGGACCCATGGTCCAAAAACCTGCATGCTGGAAGTTAATCAAACAGGACTTGGACCCTGAACTCTGTCCACACCTGAGGAAAGAATGTGAGATGATTGGCAGACTCATTTAAAGATCAGCTTTCAGTTCACACTTTGATGCAGACAGGAAGCGGAGCGAAAGTGAGGACAAACAGGAAGTAAATTGTAAACAGGATGTAATGTGTTACCTGGAAGAGGTGGTCCAAGGAGATCCTCTTCAGCAACATGGATCTCTGTGAACTTAAGTTCTTCGAGGTGTAACAGTTGAGGGGGGAGTGTGTCCTTTGACTTGGGATTGTTTCACTGCAGGATCATAGCGATAAATCCTCTGGGAATCTGGGGATGAAGACGAACGGAGAGTGGAAGTTCAGCTATCAGGGTAAATTAGATTACACACACTAATCCAGTGGTCAGGTTTCACCATGGGGGAGTGAGTGATGACTGTCTAACCCAAAGCTCAGTGGTCAGGTGAAGAGTACAGGTCAGCAGCAAATAAACCAGAAGAGACCCAGAATCCCTGAGGCATTAATCAGGGTGCAGGTTCATGAAGAGAGATTCAGAAATAAAATCAGAGTAAGTCACTGTGTAGACAGGAACCAGGCAGAGGTGACAACTAGAAAATGTAAAAAAAAAAAAAATCCAATCTTTTTCTAATTGGGGATGCCACGTACTGAATAATATAAAGTCTCAGACTGCTGCACTCCTTAGTGTGGAAGTTATTACTGTGGGAAGAATGTGGAAAGTTAGTATCAGTGAAGTATGGAGATGAAAGAAGATATTCAAAATAAAATGTATTTTCTATTCCATGTTTATGGTTCATTCAGGCTGCAGGAGTGGAAAACTTCAGCAGATAACATGAAGGCTTCAAAAGTCTGTCATGGATCTCTGAATGTGGAAAGTTAAACCTTTTAAAATAAGGATAAGTTTGGGCAACGCACATGGAGACGGTAGGTTTTTTTCTGTCAGCTGTGCTAAGAGTGTGCACTGTGCTAACATAACATGCTAAAGTAAATTTACCTTCCTCCAAGGTTTCACTGCCACTGCTCTGTAACACGGCGTTAGCTAGCCTTTGCTACTAATGCTAATACTGATGTGACGACTGCTCACATGAGAAAAAAATCTGGAATGCTTTTCTTATATCTGTTTATATCGTAGTTCTCAAAGAGAAATCAGAATCAGCTAATACCAGCATCGCCAGGTAAAATTAGTTTTTACATCCGGAGGGAGAGAGGGAGGGAGGGATGGATGGATGGATGGATGGATGGATGGATGGATGGATGGATGGATGGATGGATGGATGGATGGAACGAAGGAACATTTGGGCAAAGAGAGGAGGAATAACTTCTGTAAATATAGACACTTCTTTTTTTATTTCTTTTTGTTTTTTTGTCTTGTAGCGCCTTTGTTGGATTCTTATGGGTTGATTGAAACACTTTAAGGTTTCCATGAGCAATTCTAATACCAAAAGACAGGGTTGTCACTTTAATTCACAGTTTTCTTTACATGTACAGATTTTGTTTGTGTAAAATGGGAAAACTAATACAGCTTTTGTTAGAAAGACTTTAGTAGAAGCAGTCTGAAGCAAACCATTTAGGTGACTTTCAGTCAGACTGAGGCGTCCCTCTCTGTCTGAAGTCTTAGACCTTCTCCAGTCTGACCACAAGCAGCCAGTGGGATCTGACCTGATCTGGGCGCTAACGAAGAGCTTCAGCTCCATCAGCATGGCCGTCTGCAGCCGGCAGTCTCCCCTCTCCGCTTCCTTAAGATGGATGAATGAAGGTGGAAGGGTTCTGGCTTATTAGATGGAGGAAAATCCCCCTCTTCCCTCCCTCTCTGTTTGATCTGCAGCCCCACCGTCTCCCAGACTCTTACATCACTTCTCCCAGATGTTTGCAAAGTGTATCTCATGTCAGAACCATTTATTGAAGGAAAGAAAAAAGAGAAGGAAAAGACAACAAATAAGCGAAATATTTCACTTCAGATAGCTTTTGATGTTACATTCCAGACAGTTTTTTTAACTCCAGCTACTTCAGTGATGTTTATTTGCAATAGGGAATGCTTGTGAAGGCTCTGTGAAAGAGCAGTAATAAAGCAGTAATAGTTCACTGTGTGAACATAGCAGGGGTCTGCAACCTTTACAATCCAAAGACCTATTTCTGCCCTCAAGCCAGTGAAATTAAACTTTAGAGCCGCAAATGTTACCTGACCTGTAACATCAGACAAATTATGATTTTTGATAAATATCTGCAAAAGGATCTTTCTGTGAGGGGTTGATATGAATAAACAGTTTTTAACCGAAATAGATTCAGATCATACTACGGGTACTTTTAGTTTCATTCGGTGGTGGAAATTCAATGAAACAGAGAGAAACAGCTAACAGCTGCATTTGTTTTATCTGTATTTAAAACTATTATTTGCTTCTTCATTGGTTTTAGTCAAAGTTTTTAAGAGCATTTACAAAAGGTCCAAACTGCCTCTTGAAGCTCTTTTTCTCTCCTTAGAGATCAAGCTGTGACCGTCTGGATGTCGCTTTTTCTCACTTTAATCAGTCTCTGTGTGACTCTTGATGCGCTAAGTCCAGCTTCAGTCCACTTCTGTTGCTCAGCAGGTCAGGGTCATTGTAGCTGCTGGTGAACTTTTTCCTTCCTCTCAACTCTAAATATGCTTGAATATAGCAGTCCGTAAACAACCAGTTGCTTTAGCAATAAACCTTTGAGTCTTCCCTGCTTGTAGAAAGTCTCATCTGTCCAGCCAGCGGTCCTGGCTCAGACTGGGACCATCCAGGGTCTCCAGCTGTTTGGAGTCAATTAGCTGGTCAGGACGTGACATCATGAGGTTTCCATTTCATTTTTTATAGTTTAATTTTCTGAGACATTGAATTTGAGTAAAATAAAAAGCAGTGAAATTTACAAGAAGGAAACGCTTGAAATATTTCACTACACATGAGTTGAATCTGTATATTAGTTACATTTTATGAATTGAGGGAGAAAAATGGGAAAGATTTTCCATAATATTTATATAATTTTGCCTGCTGTTCATTTTCTGAACCTGTTAAAATTGAGTAAAGGTAATTAGTTGTGTTCTGCAGTGGAATCTATTGAAGGGTATCAGAGTAAAGGAGTAGATATAAACGCATGCCACACTTTACAGATTTTTATTAGTAGGAAATGGTTAAAAAACAAACATTTTAATTTCCCCATTATGATCTACTTTGTGTTAATGGAATCCTGAAGTTTGCGGTTGTGATGTGACAGAAGGTGAAAATGCACACAGGGTAGAAAACCTGAGTCTGAGGGAAACATGGCTAATGAAGCAGCAAGCGGAAGGACAGGGTGCCTCACCGACGGCCGGAAGGCACAGCAGTGGATCCAACAGGAAACAAATGGACCAGGTGAGGAAACGGCCGAGAGGTGCAGTTAGACTCAGGAGAGACAGAGTTGTGAAGAAGATGGGACAGCTTTGGGAGGGCTCGTGTTTTACCGAGCTAACTGGTTGCATTAGCAGTGACAGGGATGAAAGAGACCCAAGTCTGGGCTCTTTCCAAGCTCATTAAACACAGAGCCAGCCTGAAGGCCTTCCCCACCACACAAACGCAGCATCAACTCCCCAACTTTCCCGTTGTGACACACTGGAGGGGGCATTTGTCACGCAGAATACGGTGCAGCCGGTGACCAAGGGCGCACAGACACAACCGGCTGAGCAGAGTTACGGAGACGCGTTGAGTTTGATGTTGAATGTCACTGTAACCGGCCTCCCTCGGGCTTTCTGTCTGCGTGGGTGTGCGCCCGTGTTTTAGATACGACTGTGAGCGAGACCGACTGCGATTTTCCTCTTTGAAGACGGCAAGAGCCCAAGACATTCCCATCAATTAGCAGCGCAGTTGTGATGCAGAGTTTTTACAGAGAGCCAAATATAAGCGTGTTGACGAGGCTCCCGATGTTCTCCTTCCTCAGGCTTAAATCACGGCTTAATTAGGTAATGAATCCTGACTGGAAACGCTGACAATAGAAACAGCCACACTCGTAGCTTCAGCGTCTGACACGGAGACCTCAAATGTTTTTCCGGCTCAGATTTAACGCTACGCTGTCAGAGAGTCTCTTTAGGCCTTTGAATCTGATTGATGCAATAAGCAATAATAAGGTTGAATGGGTTATTCTCACAGACATGAAACTCCCCAGTAATTGATCTGCTTTACAACATAACATATATAACATGAAACTCTTGTCGTATATTTTATTTTGCTTTATGTGATCAAATCCAAATAAAAAATGTAGCAAAGTGATGTCAGATAAACAAAACGTAGAAAAACAGAGAAGCTGATATATTTATATTAAAGTGGTGTGTGTGTACAGTGTTATGCATTTCATTCACTGCGTTTTGGTGATAAATAAGCTGCTTTTCAAAACGGGAAGGAGCAGAGAACATGTCTGTCATGTTTCTGGGTAATTTCCTCTGACACGTAAAACTGAAGGGCCTCTTACAAAAAACATGAAGTCATTTTAAGACTTTTATGCATATTTACCAGGGCAGGTGTGGATGGTGCAATAGATCATGGACTAGAGCTCATCATCTCATCTCAAATTAAAACATTTCTTAACATTTTTACTGTTTCATTGTTCAAAATAAGGCTAAGAAAGAATTATGCTTCCAGTCAGACTTAAAGTAATTTTTCCATTGCTGTATCAGGATTCATATTTGATGCTTTTTAATAGAAATGTGTTGCTGTTGTCAGTGAACAGAGACAGATATGATCAAACCCGGTGAGGACGAAAGCAGCTGAAGGCATTTGTGGAGGTTTTAGAGGTGAAGGAGATCCAGGACGGTCTGCAGGTTGATGAACACATCTGGTTTTAACCTGCAGCTTGTTGTTGTTTCCTGTTTCCCTGATTCGGCTGGGAGCCGTCATGATGGGACGCCTGTTCTTTCCCAAGGAACTGACCGTGTTTGGTAAACGATATCTACATTTCTTTCACATTCAATAATAAAATGAGAAAGACATAAATATGTTTCATGTTCTCCTGGATAACAGTGTGATCTGCCTGAATCTGAAATGAGTCATTGGCTGAATTCTCATTTTCTGTAGAAGTCAGATAATGAGTCTCATTTCAGCCTTCTTCTAAGTTTCAAAAAGAGATCTTAAACTCAAATGATTTCCAGATTTTCTTAATGTTTGTACATTTTGTTTTATCTCAGGCTGAGAAATCAAAGAGTTTTTCTTTTGATCTCAACCTTTCCTGCTGCAGGGCATCTGTAAACTCAGGTTATTAATCTCAGTCTGATCTCATGCAGAGGAAATAAAAACTTTGTACTTTCTCTCAGTGCCGTCTCCTACAGTATCTTGTTGACTGTCATCGTTGTTCCCATGTCATGATTTCTCCATTTCCTGCCATGTTTCCAGCTGATCCTCTGTTTCCGGGCTACAATGACATCCTCAGAGTTTTTGGATCACAGAGCTCTACAGATGAAGTGAACAGTGATTTTCCTGATCATTGAAGTAGTGAACCTTCCTCACCACAGCTCCCTGTCTCTTGGTTTCCAGCGTTCCCTCCTCAGGACGGTCCTGCAGGTGAAACAGACACAATCCATCAGAACTCCAAGTGTTCCTGACGAGAACGGGCCGAGTCTCTGAAGAGGATTACAGAGGAAACCACCTCTGCAGGTAAACATCTACTTCTTGTTTGTGATGCCAGACACTCGTCTGACGCAACAGCTCAGTGTGGAAAGTCTGTTTAAACATTTCTTAATGTGAGTCTTAATTTAAAAAAATAAATAAAAATCTTCCATGACTTTATTGTATTTTTAATATACATTGTTAAAAACATTTTATATTGAAAAGGTACAGTTCAGTACAACACAAAATAAATCTGAATTGTACGTTTTAAAGTTTAAAGCCTGGTAATCTTTGCAGTCTCTTGATAACGTTAAAGGAAAACTGTATGATGTTTTTTTACATTTCCACGACGACAGAAGGTTTCATTACAACCCTACAGGTTTCTCCCAGTGGATGAAGTGGAGGAAACCTCCAGTTTCGGGTAATTGAGGTTTTTTAGAGGGGCTGACTCTGAGCCTCATCTGGTTGAACCACTCAGTCAACGTGCTTCAGCTGGTGAAGCTCCTCTGCAGAGGAGCGCTCTGTTGAAGCCTGGAAACACTCGTGGTTTTTGTGCTTGACCAGAAACTTTTTCTGTGAAAATGTTTTCACTTTCTGTTTGTTAGATTGCATTTTTAGAAGCTAAATTTGAACAACTTCAGGATTGTTTCAGTGAAATTTATTCTGGAATGAACATCCTGATGGAGCGTTCGGATTCAAGCTGGAGTTTTCTCCTTTTGGCATGAAAGTAAATGCGTCATATTTCAGCCTGGAGTCAGGTTATGGAGGGTGTGTGTGTGTGTATGTGTGTGTGTGTATGTGTAGGTGTGTGCGTGCGTGCGTGCGTGTGTGTGTGTAGGTGCGTGCACTGGCCTCTGTTTCAGATTTGTTTCTGGGCTGAGGGTGTAGCTCTGAGCCGCACAGAGACGCGGTTGGTAGCAGTGTTACAGGAAGACGTAGGAACATTTTTATCAGCTGAAATAAACTGAACTTGAACGCATTTTGTAACTAGAATTAAACTACAACGTGTATGTAACCATTTAATCCGTCTAAACATTTCTGGAACTGAAATTTTTTGAAAAAACATTTTTTTGAGAATGAAAACCTTGTGCAATGAAAAATGATGTTTCCTGTAATACAATGAGAGGACTAAATCCTGAAAATACCAACTGGTGCATAGAAAAGCTTTCGCTAATTTTCAATGTATGAAATCAAATTATTACGATAATGAAAAACTAAAATTAATCTCTGGATTTTTATGTCTCCAATAAAGAAATATGAAGACCAGTTTAATGTAATTGGGTGTTTAATTCATCACATGTTATGAAAGCCTTAAAACAAAATAACTTTAGACTTCATCAAAATGTATGAAATGCTAAACTGAACTGAACTCATTTAGGACATAAAGAACAAGCAGTTTAAGTGAATTAAATTCATGTTTGTATTGATATTTTAATAATTTCTCTAAATCATGAATCCAGCTCCACCTCTGATAATAAAAGGAGAAAATACTCCAAAATAAATAAAAGTTAAAGACAAATACAAAGCTTAGAAGAACAAAAAGAAAAGTGACCAATTAAAGCCTTAAACGAGACGTGAGCCACAGAATATTAATATTATAACTGACATGATGAAAAGAGTGTGGGTTTTTCTCATAAGCATTCCTTTAATTCCCAGTTCAATCTCTCCTCCTACCTCTGAGTCATTTCTGCAGCTGAAGATTTTCTGTATAACCTCTAAGACTGCAGCCTGTCCTCATCCGGTTCAATAAATAATAAATGGGCCTGAATTATGCACTAATAAAAAGGCTCATTTTGGAATATTTTATTTTTAAAGTTTAGAATTTCAAAGTTTTTCTGTGCTCTGCAGGGACTCTTGGTTCTGACAGATTCAGGATGTTTTTATTGGTATTATGGTGTTTAGTGTCCTGATTATTGAGCTGCTTTTTCAATCAAATTGAAAATACATGGAGAACTTTGAGGAGAAATGAGACTAAAACACTTGATTTAGGTGTATGACAGAAACTTACAGTTCTTATTTTTCTATTATTTCCCACTCTGATTAATCTGCTGCTGGAAAAAAGCACATACATAGCTCGGTTGACAATTCTTCGGAGGTCATAGAAATACTTGAGAGCAGAAAAGCAGCCATTGTTTGGTTAAACACAAAACCAGAGAAAGCAGAATGCAAGATTAGAATAAGCATCTGATGGCGTTTTTACAGGATTGTTTTGAAACTTTCACAGCCATTTATTTGACTAATTAATTTTTTCTAAAAGTGATGTTTACATTTTCTTAGATGTTCAATAATAATGTTCAGACAGAGGCAGTTTGTAGAAAATGTTTCAGAGTTTCATGCAGCTCTTCTGGCCCGGGTCCGAGTCCCGCTCCGGACCCAGTCTCATTGATGCAATCACAATATTCATTTACAAAGGCATTAATATCATGAAACATTCAGCTGCAAGGACATGCCTGAGGGATGAGGGCTTCTGGGCTGATGGAGGTGTGGTGCTGCTGACGGTCAGTCCGGGTCTGATGCTGTCGAGACGTGAGCTGGACTTCAGACAGAACCTGGAGCCAAAACTGAGCAGCTGCATCCTGTGACAATCGGAGCAAAGAGAAGTAAATAATATCTGCATAACTGCTTTCTTCAGCAGACGGTGCGGAAATGCTTTTTGTCAGAGAGACAAAATGCTCGGCCACCAGGCCGGAACCTGGAGGGTTCTGTTAGAAACAGTTGGGTTAAAACTTTTCTGTTCTACTGAACAGACCTCAGGTCAGATAGAAGCCACTGGAAACAAAAAGAAATTCATTACTCAGCTCACCTCATGGAAAATGAAACGTCTTCAAAACTTAATATAGTCTTCATAGAGGACCAAGTGTTAATAAAAATATTTCATCTGGGGAAAAAGTCCCACAGAGAACAGAGCGGCGCTCAGAGGGACGGTTGCAGTGTCATAAAGCAGCTTCCTGCTGTTCAGAGAAACAAGAAAAGTCAAAGACTTTGAGGTGACCCATGGAGCTGAGGGCTTTATATTTCTGTTTGTTTAGTCATGAAGTCTGAAAAGTTCTCAGCTTGATGATATTCTAGGGGCGTAGTTAATATACAGCCGAGCCCATTGGCTCGCCATAAGGTAGTTCCAGCTTTAAGTGCCCTCAGGTGAGTCATTCATTAAAAATTCTCCCTGAAACAATCTGCATAAATCCCCTTTATAAAAACAACATGCACTCTACCTGAACGCCATGCGTAGCCTTAATTAGTCTGACATCCTCTGTTATTTTTGGTAGATAATAAAAGTTTAGTCATCATTTTTAATGAGCATCATTTTTGTTAAAACAAAACCTTCCTTTAAGACTAACCTGTAAATATGCATCAGTCTGCACCAACAGGCTGATTTCATCCCTGATTAAAAAGTGTTTCTTTAAGTTTTGCCTTCATCTAAAGTTGACTTTCTAATGATGTAACACAAAGTGGAGGAGCGTTCTGCCTCTCCTCTCTCTGTGCAGTGCGTCTTTGCATCTTCTCCATAAGATGACCCTCCCTGTCTCCACATCTCTCCCGGCTCTCATCATCACTAATGGTGCAGCCCGCAGAAACCACAGTGAACACGCCATATGCTGCTTCCAGTAATCGGCTCATTAGGTGCCAAGCCTGCCCGCTCTCGGCCTGAATGGAAATGTGAAATATCAGAGACGGCCAGATGCCCCTGTGCACTTTCACATGTGCAAAGCAAACAAGCATATGTGCACGCATAAACGCCGTCACATGTTGAAAACAATCTGCTGTGCATGGGCAGCGTGTTGCGTGTGCGGTGGAGGGTTTCATGGATGATAACGACCGTCTTGCTGCGCCTGTCTTGCTCAGCCTCCTCTTCATTGTGCCGAGTCTTTTATAGAGATGTCTTAATTTTTCAAAGAGCTTGGGAGCATTATTAGAGTGTCTCTTTTGTCTGGCTGACGGAAAGTGAGAAAATAAGACGATTTGTACAGTTTGTGTCTGGCGTTTTATTAGCAAGCTGCATCAGGAAATCATGGTTATTGATCATGAAACAGTGACTTTGTTTGTATCTAGTTTTCCCCCCAACAAATAACTAAAAACTTAAAGGATTGCTATCGACTGTCAATTTTGACAATAAGTGATGAATTATTCTTTTAATGCAAACATAAGCTTCCTTCAAAACTCAATATTTATTCCATTAATGCTCATTTCTAATCCACTTTTTCACTTAGCCTTGTGTCTCTTGATCTGTTGCTATTTGCAAAGATTTCACACAAAACTGAACGACCCAAGAGCTCCTCTCTTCAATCAATGTTCCTCAAACATAAAACAAAGAAATCTGACAAAAGCATCTGAAAATGAAAGCAATTAAAAAACTTAATAAAGGAATAAAAAATAGTGTACATGTGTTTCAGTTTGTGCTGAATATCATGAAGCCATTAAAAATGTTCTCGGCAGTTTTGCACTGAGCCGATTTCTGATCGAACAGAAATGCATCCAGACCCGACATTCATCAGTTTATAGAACCGCGTCGATAAACGGACCGACCTCCCTCACAGTCGCTACCAGACACCAAACCTCCCACCACTGTTGAAACTGGAGCTACACAACTTAAACTGAGCCAGATTATTTTTACACCTAAACAGCTTAGAACCACACAATGAAATAAATATTACATTTCTTTTTTAAATCATAAGCTAAATTTCTCTGCCCAGACAACCTCTTGCTAAAACAGGTATGTGTCTGATAGGTCAGTGGTTTTTAGGTAAAACATTTTTTCTTTGACTGTGAGGACAATATTTCCCTCCAGTTCAGCCTATATTGCCAGGAGAAACTCCTCCTTCCTGGAAGCTGTGCATGAAGACAGTTTAGTGCAGAGCATTATGGGAGTTAGAGTTTTTATCCCGTCTGTCTTACTCTGATCCAGTCCTTTTGTTTCTTCCATGGTTGGGCCCCAGGAGACCAAATTCACCAAAACAGAACTTCACCAGATTCACAAGAACATTATGCAGTTTATTGAACTAAGTGAATTATTAAGAACCGATTCTTATTTCCAAAAGGCCCTGGCAAGTCTGTCCATCACTATGTGTCACGTTAACTTGCGCCAATTGTGGAATCATCATGAAAACCAACAGAAGACATGAATAGGAATGGAAACAAATTGAAAGTACCAGGTTCAGAGGGACAGAATGCAGCTGGTAGTAAAATGATTACAGGCTAAAAACCACACCATGCTCACCCGGCACAATGTTTTTCTTCTCTTCTGATATCAATCAACTGGAGTTGTGTCTCCTCTGCAGAGTTAAATGCATCACAAGCAGATAAGCCTTCATTTCTAATGAGCACACGTCTGTATGCAGGATAAAAACCTAAGGAAAGGGTTGCATAATACAGGAGCCCTCATCCTCCATGCAAATCAATTTCTTCCATCTCCTCCAGCAATCAGAGACGTGGACAGGTGGTGGAGGTTCTGAGGCTCCCAGCGACTAAAAGCTCTAGAAACAGATTCAGATTTTTATGCCGGGTCATGATGGTTTTGAAGGTAATTTGACTGTAATCTGTAAAACGAAGACGTGGCTGTTTGCTGCAGCTTGTTTTGCCTCTCCGGTGTTTTGCATATGGCAGCTTGACACCATCAATGCATCTTTTTGCAGAAGGAGGGCGTGCAGGGAAGGCATGTCTCATGAAAAAGAAACCCCTCAGAGGGAGAGGCAGGCATTTAAAATGCCTGGGCTGCACCATCAGCATTTGAAAAAGCAATTGATTGGACCACCACTGCTGTCTGAATCACAATCTCATCCATTTCCCTCTGTTTCAGCTCAGGGCATGATGATGAAGAGGAGGAACAGTTACAGAGTGGAGCGCTCCCAAACACATTACGCCACCTCACCGCTTCCATTTTAAACAAGCTCTCCTATATTCTCCTCCAACACCAGATGAGGCAAAATTCAATAAGATTTGATCAATAATTCAACAGTTTGTTTTTTTTATAGTCACCTGAAGAGTTTGACTCCAAAGGTTTGAAGCAACCTCAATCAGCACAGCATGAGAAATGATTTAACAACAACAAAATGACGCTCATGTCTCAGGTAGAAATGATTCATTGCATTTCAGATCCTTGATTTTCTGGTCTCACTGCTGATGAGCAGCTAAGAAGCAAAAATCCCTTAAATACCTACAAAACATTTAATCATGGAGCATTTTCAAATGATTTACTTAAAAACTTGCAGATAAAATAAAATAGACATTTCAAATTTTCTTCAGGATCCATAATAGCAAAAAACAGCAACAAAGCATGTTGTCTGGGGAAAAAAAATAAAAATGTACCAAGGTGATTTTTCACATGTGGTTGTTTTCCTAAGATGGTCGTCAAATGAATTTGAAATTTTAAGCAGTGAGTGGTGAACGAAAGAGAGCTGGTTAAACTCTGGGACCAGGCTGGTTACTGACCGGGTGCAGCTGTGAGGGGAGAGCAGAAAGCAGGTTGAGGGAGAGAAAAGGAGAAAGAGGTGGCACAGAGGAGAAAAGAGGAGTGTATGCTAACTGGAGCTGGGAAAACATAAACTTAACCATAACAAAGAATAATTAAATAGAGTAAAACAGAAACAAAGAAGAACTAAGGAAAAATACTTAACAAGAAAATCAAACCTATAAACTCCAAAAAGCCTAAAAGCAACTGAAGGTCTTAACATTTAGTTTTCAAAAAATATCCACTACAGAGTTTTTGTTTTTTTTTTCCAATTGAAAAATGAATGAAAACTGAAAAAGAAAACTAGATACAAGTTATAAAACTCCAGTTATAATTTAAAACCAGGAATACTTTACTTCTCGTGCCTAAATGTCTGGTGACCATTGATTGCGTTAAGGGGGTAAAATATGCAAAGATCCTTCTAATGTTGCTCATATAAAACACCCAGGGTCACTTAAAGAAGATAAAAAAGCCAAAGGTTTAATATGTCACAATGTAGATCTGGAAGGACAAAAAGGACAAACAAATAACAGCCTGAAATAACAGAGTGGATCAGAAACAGAAAGTAAACAAAAGCCACTCAACAGAAACACAGAGAGATAAGAAAACGACAGAGACATAAATCACACCTGTGTCACTCACCGTGGGCTCGAGGCGCCGGGGGTAAACACCCACGACCAGAGCTAAACCTGACGCTTGTATCAGGAGACGGCTGATGTAAAGCCACAGAGAAAAACACGGCTGGATAGAAGTGACTGATGAGGACCCAAAAAATAAATTAGACAACTGATTATGAAGTCTGACACAAACATATGATCCATCATCATTTGGTTGGTCCCCTGGATGCAGACACAGGATCTGTTTCTCTTTTTTTGGTTCTTCAGAGGTAGCTGTAGGTAAATAGTGTAGCAGTTTGTGGAGTGGTGGATCTCATGTGTGGAGTTGCTGCCATCAGGAAAAATAGTTCTTCGTACTCCAAGCCTTTGATCTTGGAAATGAAGCATTCTCTAAAGTGAATCTGGAAATTCAGCCAATTTAGGATCTGCAGGGGTTGTGCACAAAGCTTAGAGATGCTGCTGCTACAAAACCTGCAATCTTTTCTTTTTCCTCGTGACTTCACTGTTCCGCTCTATAAATTCATTCTGTGGCTTTAAAAAATAGATGAACTCATCCAGATGGTTTGCTTTCTGTAGGCTTTTATGCAAATCGATGCTGTTAAAGTGATTGGGAGCAACGTTAAGACGATCAATAAAGGCCGTTTCTCAGGAATAAAGTGATGTCAAAAGGTTGGTGACCCCTGTTTTCCCAAAGCAACATGTTGAAATGTAAACTAAATCTAATGTCAACAAGAAACAAAACCTGATTTTGTCCTTAAATGATTTAAAAGGTGTGTTTTAGATGCAAATTGCAGACCAGAATTTGTTTACTTTAAATTTTTGTCTGCATTTTATTTAATTTTTTCTCTTTCAGTCTGGCTTTAGCCCAAAGTATTTCAGTCAGTTTTGTGAAACTTTGCTTAGTTTGTATATTTTTCCTCATGTAAGTATAACTCAACAGTTGGTTTGCTCTTCTCTACAGTCGGTAAATGATGATGTTTTTGTGTCATTTTGCACTGCTGGTGGCGAAGGACAGCTCTGAGCTGGATGGAAAGAGACGGCCTGGATCTCTTTTGTTTTTACTTTTATCCAACAAGTATTTATTTTTTTACCTCTCATCTAACTTACCGTGTTTGTTCCCCTGGTCTCTTGTGTGTGGTTGGAGCAGATCATCGTTTCAAACGCACAGCTGGACTGAGACCACGCAGCTCCGCTCGTGGGTTTCCTCAGACAGCCACAGGCTTGCAACAGATTGCATCAATATCACAAATTCCTCCTCTGCCAAAAATCATTGTTCTGTTTGTCGTTTTGGATTTTTCACCGCCCACTGCCAAAACAAAATGATATTGATGGAAAATGATCCCACTTATGTTGCTCTGTTGCAGTCGGAGCCGATGTTTTCTCAGGGTTTTTCACCTGAACATTTTGCATCTTTTTATGGCAGAGATGAAGAACTAAAAACATGCTAGTTTCAGAATGTTTCAGCAGAAAATGCATCAACCCTGAGCCGTTCTTGATCATTCTCTCTCATGTTCTGGATATGAGCTTTTGAAGCAAATCTGTACGATGTGACCCATTTCTGTCTGTTTAGAGCTCGGATCTGATCTCAGATCTGATCCCAGTTTATTGGCAGAAGTTCTTACTGGAGCAGAAATATGAGTGTTTCTGGACTGCAAATACAAAATACCCCAGTTCAGATATTTTTCATACGCTTTGTGAGTCGGACCAAACTGTTCCTGAGACGTTGGAAGAAGTTACTCCTGAGGATGTTTTGATCCCAATCTTTGTTCCAGTTTTTCTCCTCCTTCTTTGTACCAACCTTATGCTGTCCTGCTTCTACTTCTGGCAGAATTTCAGTCTCTACTTGATGTTTTTTTTTCCTGTGCAGAAATTGCCTCTTAAATGCCATCACAACCACCTGCTGCCTCTATTGTGCTGCTCTGCACGACTGCTAACAAGACTGTGTCCTGGATCTTATTGGACCCTGTAGGACGTCCTGAAGCGTTCTGCTCTGTACTGAACCGCTCATCCTGAAGTTCAACTGTTCTTTCTGCTGTAATATTCTAAGCAGCAGTTTCCTTTATGTCAGTAAAGTTTATTTGTTAAGTTCCTTTCAGATAAACCCATCAAAACAGAAAACTGTGGAGCCCCAAAGGGAACATGGGTCAAAGAAAAAATAGTTTGAAAGGAGGATTTATGTAAACAGGTCAGTGCAGAAATCTGAACACTGACACAAACACTTTGGTTACAGTTTCCAGCTCAGCTGAAGAGACAATGTGACGCTTTTTAGAAATGTTTCACAAGTGAAAGAAATAGGAAGGAGAAAAACATTTTATAAGAGTCTACAACAAGATTCTGATGCTGGATTTGGACTTAAAAAATTGGACTGATTTGTCTGTTTAGCTCAGGAGGAGCTTTGTAATCGTGGTCTTAGTGGTTTTGGTGATTAACAGAAGCTAATTGCTGAAAATTCAATTAATGCTCTGTGATAAACAGTCGACCATGTGGACAAGGCTTAAAAAGACATATAGTTAAATATCTGCATAAAAGTGATAAGAAATGTCATTAAATGTGAGAATTTTGTTGCAGTGATGTCGTCGAAGGTACCACTGCTAACATGAGACGATGATTTTCCTGCACTTGCCTCTCGTTTACAGCAACCAGTCCACTGATTGGACTGATTGCTGGACTCTTTCAAAGCTTCACAGTGACAACTTGACTCTCCAAGCTGCTTAATGCTGCTTGTCCTAAACACGCTTCACTCAGACAGCTGTCTGATCGGTCTGTAAATTACACTTCTATGACTCTGCTGTGAAACTCTTTAAGCTGGGGTGGAGGTGAGATTAGACTATTAGATCTTCAACAAGAACATTTTTCCACCATAGAGAGATTTTCCAAATGGATGAGAAAACCAGGAGGAGAGAGAGTTGTAATAGACAGAAACGTGAAGAGCTGCTGATGGAGGGGGAGGAACTAAATGAAATGTCTCTACATGGACATGAAAAGGTTGACAGGTTGCCGTGTGGTGGGAATTGGACCAGAGCTGCATTTTGACTCCAACCAAAGAGAAAATGAAAGGGAAAAGATAGCAGAAATGGAACATGAAGCCCCTATCATGTCGCTGCTCTAATACATGACTTTGCACACTAACACACACAGGAGCAAGAGCCACCCGCTCCATGTGTGCTGTTCTCCCGGTCACATTACTGAAGGGATGCAGAGGACACAAATTACATTTTTCAGCACAAACAGATGCAATGAGGTGAGAAGAGTTTGAGTCATCCACCAAAACAGGAAATCAACACAATAACCTGCAGTTTAACTGATGCAACAGCCTCACTGTTCCACTGTCTCGCTCTGCTGCGTTCTGCAGTTCATGACTGGTTTTGAGTAGTCAATTATTTTCTGTCCAGAACTGACATAACTGCCTGACTTGTCTGAGATGACACCATCAGTCAAAGCTGCTGAGCAGACACTCCTCCTGCCTCCAGATCCCATTAAGTTAAACAGCCTCAGCTACTTCCCCACTCCTTCTCTAACACAATGCATTTTTATTGCTGCGCCTCTAAAATGTGTTGCATGACGCATGGGAGCCACAGGGGTAAAGTTCCCACTCAGAGTGAAGGAGGAAAGATTGAAGACTGAATTCC